AAAATATATATTTTTGTGATAATGCCTGAGTTTTATATTGTGTTTCATAAATGTGGAGTATGTATACTTTTTTGAAATTAAATCACTTTTTCTGCAGAAGTAGATAATAGTATCATTGTGTTACAAAACACTACCTACTAACTCTCTACTTTCAACTGTGTTTACATTACACACTGTGCAAATATACATGTAGTCAATGTGTTATTTATTTACCTATTCTTATTTTAGGAACTGTTAACATTTATGGATATAGCCATTGATTTTACTGAAGAGGAGTGGGAGTGCCTTCAGCCTGCTCAGAAAAATTTATATAGAGATGTGATGCTAGAGAACTATAGAAACTTGGCCTTCCTGGGTAAGTTTAATTTCCCTTTAAATTATTAATTACTAATTATTATTTAATTTACTTCTGTTTCAGAGTATCTTCTGGGAATTTCTCTATAAAAATTAGTTTCAGATTTATGTTTCAAAGAAAAAGGGCATTTTTAGTACATTATTTTACTCTCTCTCTCTCTCTCTATGTATATCTATCTATCTATCTATCTATCTATATATATATATATAGATATAGATATAGATATATAATTTTACTCCTTAATCTGTCTCTTTCTTTGTGTGTTACACCTCCTTCACTTTAGATAAGTAGTACCTAGTATAATTTAGTGATGTAAACTATTATAGACTACACATAGCAGGGGACACAGTTGAGTTATTCAAATGTCGAGGAGAAAACCAAACTAAAAAATGTTGAAAGAGTAGTTATGTTTCAGAAGAAATTTTCAGAAGCTTAGGTTTATTTATTTTGATTGTAATCATTGAACACATACTGCCCTATATTTATCACATTTTCAAATTCCTATTGTTCTCTGTTTTCTTCTTTAGTGATGTCCCAGTTTATTCAGATTAACCATCAAAACTTACCTTTTGTTGTGAGGGCCAGCATGATCTGTTTCAAATCTTCTTGTGAGGAAAACTTTAAAGGGGCAAACAGAAGACAGAGACACACACATACAGTGAAAAGGAAAAAAGAAAAAAATCTGGCCACCCCTCTTAACATCTGCACAAATATTACCCCAAAATTACATAGCTTCTGATACCATGACTACATTCTAACCCAGTGTTTCTTTAACCCCAAGTGCTAGCTAACCAAGATTAGGTACAGTTAATAGAAATATAGAGCTCCTTCTCCCTAAGGGCATTACCACAGAAACTAGATAGTGCACCTGTAGAGTTGTCTTAATAGCTTCAGGGAGAAACTGCTGGGCATTAAAATTTTGGGACTCAGGGTTCCAGTTACAATCACCCCCACACTTTCCTGTCTATTCCAAGGTCAGAATACCTAATACCTCCCCT